AAAATTCGAGCTGTTAAAATTTTTAAAAAAATCATAAATAACAATTTTAGTAAATAATTTGTTAGTAAATACTAATTTTTTATTTACTAATTAGTAAATTTTTTTAAAAAAATCGAGCCTATTAAAATTTTTTTTTTACATATTAAAATTTGAGCCGATTTGAACTCTATCCGAGTTGTTAGGGCCGATTAAAATTCTTTTTCGAGTCGATTATAATTTATATTTTTTTCTTATTATAATTTGTGTCAATTAAAATTATATTTATTAAAATTTAAGTCAATTAAAATTCATATATTTTTATATATTAAAATTTAGGCCGATTAAAATTCAATGCGAATTAATTAAAATTTGATTTGAATCGATTAAAAATAATTTTTAATTGGCTCAAACAGAATTTTAACTAACCCAAATTCTAATACGTAAAAAAAATATAATTTTTAATTGGCACAAATTTTAATATGTAAAAAATTAAATTTTAATTAGCTTGAATCGAATTTTAATCGATTTGAATTTAATTACGTAAAAAAAATTAAAAAACAGAAGGGGTCTCATTGAAAATATATTTATTTAGAGGAGATCTCATTGAAGATATGTTTATCTAGAGGGGGTGTGGATGAAGTTTGTCCTCAAATATATCGTGGGCAATTTAGTAAAATTGTATTTTATTTAATATTTTTAATCTAACAGGGGTGTCATTGAAGATTTAAAAACTAGAGGGAGTGTCTTTGAAGATATGATAAACTACACGGGGTGTGGTTGAAATTTTCCCTATTACCAATAGATTTAAGCTATTAGTTGAATCTGAATTCTAAACATGTATATTAAGCTTTTGTTGGATTCTATGTACGGTATAATTTATTCTGAGCTAGGAAGCCAGGGACAGTGATGGCATTATATTCATCCATACCATTGAAGCGGCCTAAAATTTGTATCATTTCTTTCAATCTACAAGGCAAGTCACTTGCCTGGAAAATAAAACAATTCAACAACAAAAAATCCAACACAAGGAACGTAGTCATGCTAATTACTGTAACAGAGGGTTGAAAGAACACACACGATTTGTAGGAATGACATGAATGCTGCATAGAGTACCTCATGCAATAAATAATCTTATGTTGCTCTAAAATCTAATAGGATCGACAGACATATATCAATATAATTTTTAAACGATTGTCTATAAGCAGTTCAGACACCTTATTTCAGACTTTTTTGGATGAGAAATAATGAACACACAATGTAAGTGATGGGACACTTCTAGAAGGATGCTAAATCAACGACATGTGTTCTCGACGCTGAAATACATCTTTATCTCTGGTGAGGCCACATGTCCTTGGCACCGAAACCCCCTACTCTGACTAACATGTTACTCGGCTCCAAGGGTGTGCCCTTGGCACTGAGCGTACCCCCCACTCCGGGGGATTAGTTAAGTGTTCTCGGTTCCGAGGGTACTTACAGTCCGCCCTTGTCACATCTTCGGCTTCTAAAGAGGCTACTGAATGAAAGCTGAATGACTTAAACTAGCCTAGGAGTCAGGAGGACGCTCTGCACAATGAAATCAGAATAGCAGCATAAGTTGGACACTCAATCAGAGAGAGTCGAACACGTGGCATAAAGTGCATGATAGGGGTAAAAAGACAGAAATACCTCTGCTGATTTACGGCTATCCCAGACAAGCTTTTAATGAATCCTCGGTGTTGGGATATCCACAGTGGCTTGGAAAGTCAAGGACATGGGGTATTAAATGCCTTGGACTCATAGCATTTAAAGTTTTCACATCTGAAAAAGGACATTAACTACTCGGTAGCCCGAGTAGTTAATACTGAGACATCCCCCATACGAAATAGGAGGCACATTCTTCCATGTATGATCATTGTCTACTAACTATGTCATCAGCAATGACGAGCCTTGAAGGGTATAAATAGTCTCCACAAACATATTGTAAAGGTACACAAAATCTTCTCTCAAGAGTCATACAGTGTTTTCTTCCTCTCTTTTTTCAAAGAACTGATTTGATTGTCGAAGAGGATACGTCGAAAAAAAACTCCGGCGCCCTTTTAACTTGTTTTTTGTGTGCCAGGAACGTCCTGCAACCCATCAAGATTGATCAGACAGCCCCTGAAACAATTCATCACCACTCCTTAATCCCCCTTTGACCCTCTCAACTCATTCTTTACTGTAGGATCCACCTTCTCGACAAATACGAGTTCACCAAGAGAGAGATCTGTTTTCATTTCAATTATTGTGCAAAAATCCTTGCGCACAGTAAATAACTAATAAAAGATGATTCTTTTATTAATTCAATCGAATGGACTTCGGTTATAGAAAAAATAAACAACCTTGTTTGCAACAATAAGTGCCTCTTAAAAACTATACTAAAACTAATCAAAAACTAATCCTAAAAATGCCCAGAATCATGGGTCTTGTGGAGGTTTGAGTGTATCCTCATCTTGTCCACTTCATGCCCTTTTATAGCCATTGTCTTCAACAGTTTTGCTTCCATCGTCGATTATTAACTAATAATCTCTAATTAGTTATTCTTCTTTTTTAAATATGATTATAACTAATCATCTCCCACTTTTCTTCAAATTCTATCACATGACACCTTTTAAACATGTCTGAAAAGCCAAGTATCGACACACCGAATATTCCTAAAATTTGGAATTTTATGTCCAAACACCTTGTCTGCATAAAATATTCAAGTTCATTTAGAGCCAGCCAGCAAATTTGCTCATCACCTTTGCAATTATGGGAGCCACCTTGGGATTTGCTTGATGATTTGCAAGATTGGCGAGGTTTTTCATCACTGCTAAACAATTTAACAAGATGTGAAAAGAGAGTCGGCAAAATCACCCCTCTCTAATGTCAGATTGCCTTCACCAACAGTTGTTACTGATTCATTAACAATCAAAATATTGTTCGACTTTTTCAGTCTAGTATCCAACAATCTCAACAAAAAGATTTCTCTATTCAAAATCATGACTTTTGCTCAAAACAGAGTACTAAGCACACATCATTTAGATTAGCAATCTTCTCATTGTCAGCATTCACTGCAGAAAAATTTATTACACGCGACCTCTGCCTTGCCTAACTTGGTAAACATCAATCAAATAGTAGACAGTAAGTATATTTCTACATCATCCAAACAAATCCCAAAATTCTTGCATGGACTTGAGAAAAATCAATCATCCAATGTGTTCTGATGTTGAACGTCACAGAGTACAAAAGAACAGATGTGGAGAGGAATTAAGAAATGAAAATGGCATCTAGGTATGAAAGGACAAAACTAATGTCACGGGATAAGGAAATTTCCTTCTTTCCCCTGTTGTGATCTGTTTCTGTTTCATTTGGGGTTTGGGTCGTGATTGACATTTGGGAACTTAGTTGGGCTAGTATAACAATCAATTGTCGAACCTAACTATGGATTCAAAGACTCGAAGGTGAGAAATTCAGTCAGTATCCGACTAGACCACCCCACTGAGTAGTTCGACTAGTATACATATGGTACAACATTTAAGCATCAAATTGTTGTGAAAACAGATTTAAAATGTACAATCAAGTGGCTACATGTATTAAAAACAAAAGATGTGCGAAAAATTGCTTCTTTTTTCTCGGTTCCGAAACAACTTGGGAGAAATAGGGTTCTACTGAAAAATCATAGATTTTTGAGTTTTCGCCAGTGATTATTGGTTGAGCCACTGGAATGGAATGAGATAAGAATATCCGGAGATCTTCCTCTCCACTTATTCTGAAGATCCTCTTGCTGTGGGCAAAGAGGGCGAGGCCACTTTTGCACCTCTTTTAAGAAAGGATTAGGTTCATGGCCTAATCCAATTTAGTCCAGGTATAAGTCAAGTTGTTCAGACTGGTTCAGGCTAAGCCTATGTAGTTGAGGCCCAAGGTAAAATAAAATATATTTTGTAAAGGTACATAAATCAATATTTTTTTAGATTTTTTAATGTTCAATATAAAGCTTAAGACGCAAACCTTTGACACAAAAATTCAATTAAAATATCAAATAAATTACTGTGATTATTGTAACTTCTACACTTTAATTTGACTTGCATTAAGCAAAAATAGTAGGATTAAACTCAATATAAAATAGTGTCTATATATTGATCATAATTTTGTAAATTCTAATTATATTTTGACATTATAAATATACAACTAATGAAGAGATAGACTATCTAAGACTCAACCTATGTTAGATACATGACATGCTCACCTGAAAAGAGGATCACAAAATCTTATTTTTCTAATTACTTGTTTTTTAATGCTTTTGTAAATTTCTTGAAATATTTTTTCCAAGATAGAATGAAAAAAAAAATAATAAAGAGTTGAAGTTAAACGTAATTGTCCAACTATCAATATACAAGGACAAGCTACAAAACTCTTTTTATATTTGAAAAAATTGCAAGCTCTCACACATATAAATAGGGACAAAGGTGATTATTTAGGAATCAAATTTTATGATATAGGGATGATACTTTCACATCAAGCAAGAATATTTTTACGGTTATCCTTGAAACCCAATAGGAAATAGGAAAAAAAGTATTAGATTTTTTTTGTAGTTACCATAAACTCTTGATTTTTTCATGTCCATAAAACCCAAACATCAATTTAGGAGAAAATTTTCAAACTTTTCTGTAACCACAAAAAACTTTTGACCTAAAAACATTAAAATTTTAAATAAATTCATGTGGTTAGAATTTGAAGACCAAAAATTACCAAGTCAATTATGTAGAGAAACAAAAAGGTGGTAGCGTACTGTTTTGTTCTTAATCATAATGATATGAACACTATTAGAGTTGAAATGAATACATAAAATATTAAATATATATATATATATATATGCATAACTAATTTAAAGAGACGAAATAATAGGAGAGGAGAATGTAATTAATTGGAGAAGATAAAAGAAAATTATTGGAGAGAATTATACATCTTACGAAAGATATTATAGTCAATTAAAAAAATTTCACTTAATTTACTTTTATTAGTAATTAATATAGACTCATAAGTCTGTGGGACATGAATTTATTTGAACTATTGACCTTCTTCATTCCGACAATTGGACAACAACACTGCTCTAATTTGAAGGGGCAATAAGCTTTGTGCCCGAGGTCGGGCTGGCTTGATGGATCCAGTTCTTCCTTAGAGATACGCATTTTTAAGCTTCCATGGTTATCAGCCGAGCTGATTAAGAGACGCTTCGGAAGAGTTGTTAAGGCGAGAAGCTCAACTTGCTGAGCTTTATAATCAGGCTGCACTAGATTGTGCCAAGCTCTGATTATGTAAACAAGAGACTCATGCTGATCATGTCAACTCTGGACTTCATGATCAGACAGTATGGAAGAAAGAGTCTTATTCTGATCTATGATATCGTCGGTAACCCCATAAATAATGGGTTATGTGGGTCAAATAGGAAATAAGATATCATCAAAACTATATCAAATGTTATGTAAACACAAAGAAAGTGAACATCCAAACATACCACCAGAATATAGTTTTATACATGAAGAATCATAGTATAGAATCCAAAATTATAACACTCAGCGTAATTCTAGATCTAAAAGATACAGGATAGCACTATTGAAATCAATATTGTACTCAATTCAAAGAAACAAAGCAAACAAGAGAACCTCCAAGCTCCAAATGTGCCAATTCCGCTCTGTAAAACTAGATTGACTCCATTGGATTAATCAAATTCTGAAGAACTCCACTAATAAAGAATCACCGAAGCACAGAGCAGGAGGATGCCAGACAATCCAGTCCATGCTATCCCGCCCACACGATTGCCATCGTTTCCTGGTACTCCTGTAAGTTAAATAGGACCAGCAAATGATTAGAATGCAAATGGTAACAGAATATTCATAGTCAAATCGCTCAATTTTGGAGTTCTGTAATCTTTGGCCAGCTTTCTTGGTAGAGAACCAGTAGAACTCGCAATGGTTGGGCTAGTATTAAATGGCAGAAAGAAAGAAGCAAAGAACGGATAGACAAGCAATAGCATTACTCATAATCAATCAACATGGCCCAAAGCATGACTTAAGACACACAAAAAGAGAACTTCTAATTTTAAATGAACATGTTTGCCTCCAAAATCCACTAGGTATTTAGGGAAGTCAGATTCATGAAAGGCGGTCCACAGTGTCTAATAATAACTATTTTTCAGGCACAGTTTTGATCTTACTTCCTTTATTCTCTCATTTTTTTTCTTTGAACCTTTGCCCATATCAGTATTGAAGAAATGAGTTTGCATACTAAGGAGGAAAAGCATCGTATACAGTCGAGGAATATCTTCACAGGTTTTAATACATGAATTTTCGCCCTCGTGTGTTTCTTAGATCTATTTGATATCCCTGCCTATGATGGAATCCATTTTCACCCATTGTAGTACATTTTTGTGTCTTTTCTGTTTGTTACTTGCAAATTGCAATGAACCCAAAGGCTACAATTTTGTAATGAAAGAAGAAATCGGGAAGAAATAGCATATAACAAAGCCAGCAACGTGGCCAGGGTAATTTTGTTCTTGTCATGGTCATTTAGTGAAGGTGATAGTACGGAATCAAAGGAAGAACACCAAACCTCATCCCCTCCCCCAGAAAAAATGAAAAAAATAGACCCGGCCACGATCAAGAGACCCTTTCAAGGTTCGTGAGCTATTCAGTGAAAAGCGTATCTGAACTTACTCTACAATTCTACAAAGAGAACATTACATTTTATCTATTCTATTATCACATTCAAATTTTTTTTCTTTTTTTTTTTGGGTATGGAAGTTTGCATTCTATAAAAAATCAAGCCAGGAGATCAACTTTGGTGGCAAAATTGGAGGCACAGAAAGCATAGAACAGCTAGCATTACACAAAGTCAACTCTTAATGAAGACAAATGAGAAAAAAATTTGTTACCTGGTGGAGGTGGCACTGACGAGGGAATTGGAGCAGTGGCTGTTGAAGAGAATGGAAATTAAATTAATTAGAACAGACATTGCCTTATTCAAACAATACCAAAAAAAAAAAAAATAAGTCAGCAAACGCATTGGAAGAAAAATGAAAAGAAACTAAGGCTATGGGACTGAGTTGGGTGCAGTACCAAAATTTACAATTTAATAAAGATCGGATACGACTCGAATATATCTCATTTGGAGTCAAATTACAAATCAAATTGATCGATCAACTCTATATAGGTCTAGCTATCACTTAAAAATTGCATTTTTGTATCAGAAAATTGATAGATAAGACTAAATTTTACTATTATCTCACTAGATAGTGTCTGGTGTCTACCCTTTATCTCGTAATGACTTTCAGGATGACACCAAAAAGTGAAACATTTAATATATCAGTTGTAATTTTGTATTTGGCAAAAATTTATAAGGGTAGCAAGTAATGATTGATTTTGCATTAAGGGGGCAAACTCTGACCAAATTTTTTTTTACCCGTTTATACAAAAACATTTTCAAGCATGAAAAAATATTTTATGATTCAACATTAAATTACTATTAAAATAGTAAAACCAGTTTCTATTTAACATTTTAACTTAAACAAAATATGAATAAAAAACCATAAAATAACCTATATTTAGTATATTTCAACCCAATCCCGTACTAAAATAGAATACGATATTATTTCAAATCTCAAAATCCATTTATAATGAATTGATGATAAACTAAATTGTTAGTCATTTTCGTCAATGTACAAAACAATATTATTCGTGTCAAAATTATTATTCATTTCATTTTGAAAAATCTATTTGAAACCATCATTTTCTTTGTTGATTTACTCAATCCAGAAATTAAAGCATTATTTTTTTTTTGGAGGGGGGCAATAAGTCATTAACTTAGCAAAAATTGAAAAAAAAAAAACTAGAACAATCGTAAATAATTCCGAAAATCAAGGAGGGCAAATGTATTAAAATAACCAAAACTGTCATCCCTTTATTACTGTTCATTAAGGAACAACACAGACAGCCGAGTCCAGACTTCGATATCGGGATTGAACCAACTCACTGAGTAATTAAAATTTCTAAAATCTCAAGACAAAACCAAGAACCAAAAGATCATTCGATGTTTAACCCAAAAATTCAAAAGCGGACTGATCATCAAGACCACATAAACCCAAGAATTCATATACATGTATGTGTGTGTGTGTACCGTTGCAGGTGCTGAGATCGGCGGGGACACCACAGCGGACGGCGACAGCAAGGGCCTGGGTGATGTTGATGCCGACCTGAGCCAGAAGGCCAGGGGTTTCGTAGATGGTGCAGAGACAGGGAAGTTCCTTCGTCACCACTTCTTTGACAGGGTCACAGCAAGACGAAGGAGGTTTGTTTGTGGAGTTCAGGTAGTCGCCGCACGGAACCAGCTTCGTAATGCAAGATGTCGATTGCCCCATCACCGTTCCGATTGACAACAGAGCCAACAACGCCACCGCCATGATCAAACTGGACATTTTGGAACCACCCATTACTAGTCTCTCTGGTTTCTAAGACTGGTCCTCTCTCTCTCTGTCTCTCTCTCTCGGCCTTTTCACCTCTCTCTCCCTCTGGTACTGGGGTGGTAGTTTGTTTTGTTGCCTTGATTTCACGGTGTCCACACTGCTGTTCATTTATATTTGTAGAATCAATGGGTCGGGTCGGTTATGCGAAGAAAAGTTGATGCGTACGCAAGAAACCGATTCTTATATTTTTTTAGGAAAAATTATATCCATACACATGAGGTCGCCATTTAATTACTTAGACCACGTAATATTTAAAATATTAGAAACAAATCTAATACACATCGACCCGTTAATATCCTTAAATATATCTATTAGTAAATTATATCCTGAATCCTAAAATTTGAAATGTGTAATATTTAGAACCATTCAATTTAAAATATTACACTCAGACAAAAAATATTTTAATTAAATATAGAATATCAAATATTTTAAATTTTATAATCAAAATTTATATTCTATTATGTCATTTATTGAAATTAAATCAAAAATAAAAATTCAATTTTTACTAACTTGTGTTGGACTTTGATTACCCGAAAAAGAAGTCAAAAACCGGAGTAAAGTTTCAGGAGTCAACTCTCTGATGTCTAAGTCAATAAGTGATTCAAAAGTATGAACTGGTTTAAAGTTAGGAGTGGCATACCAGGAGAAGGACTAAATCGACCTTTTACCTTAAGTCAATTTTTTTCATCATCAAGTACGAATATATGAAATAAGCCTACTCAACACATTTACATATTTTATTATATCATCCATTGACAAAAAATACAAACAAAATTCAAATTTTTTGAGAAAAAAAATAATAATCAGTGTAAATATATTAAAAAACTCAATTCAACACTCATTTGCATATAATTATGTTGTCTATTGGAATAAAATTAAAAAATCAAATAAATTATCAAATTGTAATGGAGATATTATCTTCTATCTTTAGTTAGGATAATTTGGTTGATTAATAAATTTTGTTAATTCCGTAACTAATAAGGGGTCTAAATATAATATTTTAAATTTAAGAGGTTGAAGTATTACACGTCTATAAATTTCAGGAGATTTGGATGTAATTTATTAATGAATATAGTAAGAGTCTAAGTGTTACGTGTGTATTAATTTCAGGGAGTGTACGTAATATTTTAAATATGAGTAAATTTAAGTGATTACTTGATAAATCTTAGAAAATTTGAGTGTAATTTTTCCATTTTTGTATTGGCGGCCCTTTCTCTACCATGCACAAATTATAAGTTTTGAACTTGTAAGTTTTTGAACTGATATCATATGAGTTTTGGTCAATTAAGAAGATTTTGTAAACATTTGTAACAAATAAATATTTGGTTTGTTGATTGTCATGAATGATTAATTTATTTGACAAAAAAAAAATTTAATTTAAAATTTATAATTCATGAGTTATTCACATAAATTTGATACACGACACATAATTTTATTAATTAATTAAATTAATATGGATTGATAATCAATATAATTTTAAACTTCTACCATGAAACCATTCAAACCGGGGCAGGCGTTGAATATATAGACAGTTGAAGTTGAGTCGTGAAAACGAGTGGGCATGTGATTGCATACTATTCAATTGGCCTACCAAATCAATTGTAAATTCAATTAATCAACGGGCAGTTAGTAGGAGCAGAGCACCATTATTGTCACTAAACACCATCCAATCACCCAACTCACACTTGTCTCCCATAGTGGTTTAGCTACATTACATACCTATTAGACAAATTATGACTTCTCACCCCTTGAACACCAGGTCATCTCAAGCATCAAATGCCCTTTGCCAAATATTTATAGCCTCTTGCCGAGCATTCAATTTGATACCCCTGAAATTTGATTTTTTATCAGCAATGACCATATCTCTTATCTTTCTATCGATTTGATATAGGTTCTTAGTTGATGTGACTGTAATATTGTCTGTCACATTATAGCACGAAGCGCATTTCCCAAGGTTGATTACTATTTCGAGTGAGACGTGTATGCGTTCATTTACTCTTAGTGCACACTTACTCAGTCTTAGGGAAGCTCAACATTCAGTCTCAGCCCATGAAAACTTGGAGAGAGTTTTAACGCGCCACCTGTTGATTTGTGATTGACGAGTCGTCCACATCCCGTCAAAAATTTACTATAAGCATAACATATTAATTTATTAACTTAGATAGTCAAATTTAGCTCATATATTATAATTATTTTTTGTTGAAAAGATCATAAGAACCGAAATAATCCATGTATATCATTGTCAAAGAATTGAGGACAGTTCACACTTCTCTTGTCATCAATTGCCTGTTACCATGCATTTTTACAATTCAACTTTGACCACAGAACATGAAATGGTCTTTAAATTTCAAGAGTAATTTAATGATATTTAAACCTCTTTAATGATATTTAAACCTCTTATGTTGACCCAACAACACATTAGGCTCAGTCAAGAAAAGACGTGTTCCTAGCTGATTGATTCAAAAGTGTAGAGGGTTCTATTTGACAAGTCTAAATTTGTACGTGTACACATAACCAATAATCTCACGATATCATAATCATAATCCTACACTTATCCATCCTATTTTTCATATTTAATGCAGATTTTTTTTTTGTTATTGTTGTTGCAGATAATACTTGACCTAAGTATTGATTTGGTGGTGGGTTCCAATCCAAACTCATTGAATATTCAACTGTTTTGAACAACTATAGGTGTTTCATTATTATTATTTTGACGATGTAAAAGAGTTTGAGAAGATAATTAGGGTGAAACATTTGTCAGGGAGTAATCATAGCAACTTGAACCTAGAACGGAAGCCTTCTCCGGTTGGGCCTAAATGGTAGGAAATTTTGGAAGCCGACACAAGTCATAACTTAACCCTTGCACCACAAAATTGCTAGCGAGAGTAACGAGAGTCTCGAAAAATCGAATCCTTCTTGCTAACTAGGACTACAAACATTACATGACAAGTCACCGTGCTAACTAGGACTATAAACATGACATGACAAGTCACCGAAACACCAGTCCGACAATTTTTATTATTTTTGTTGTGCCTTTAATCAAACGGGTTTGGAAGAATTTATACCCAGGAAGTGGCAGGCTATTTTTATTCCAACAAAAAGTCATTTTGCAGACTGTTGAAGATAAGATTTAATGATTTGATGGGATTAATTTTTCATCCAAGATTCATTTTGAAAAGTAACCAAGCTAAGGGATGATCAAGTCGTTTCGGTGTTTGAAAAATACAAAAATAAAAGAGAAAACACGTATTCTTATTCTTTTTTTATTTATTAATTCCATGGATGAATTTATCAGATGATTTAGAAGATTCAAAGTGGGGATCGAAGCAACTGTGTCAATATTTTAGAAAGATCAAGTAAATAATTTTTTGGAATTTGTATGAATATAAGTGAAAAAATATACAATTTTAGAAACTTGGGTGAGGCCGGCTATGCTAAACAATCCAGAATCAGCTTGATAACTACCTATTAAACACATCCCAAACAATGACAAAAGAAGAAAAAGAAAAAGAAACATATCCCCAATTGGCCCAAGCGCATAAATGACTAATTTAATAATCCAAGTGGTAATAAGGATGAATTGAGTTTAAATTTTAACAATGCATTTGAGTCGGATCACAAGTAAGGTTAATAATCGAGCCGAGTTTTACGAGTTTGACCAAAACCTGTTAAACTCTTTTTTTTAAACGAGTCTAAAAAATTATTTAAACTCGGCTCGTTTAAAAAATGAACCGAGCCGAGTCTAAACCGAATCCAAAACAAGCTGAACTCGAATCGAGCTCGAGTAACTCAACTATTTCACATATAAACAAAGACAAATTTTGTGAGATCGAGCTAACCCTTCTAGGCTTGTTTTCTAAATAAGTCTAAAAAATTGTTCAAATTCGGTTTCATTTAGAGTCCGAGCCGAGTAACTCGACTCAATTATCAGCCCTTGCCATGAGAGATTTATCTCTTATGAATGCCCTAGTCGCAGTGTTAATAGTTTACTTTTAACCGGACCAAAAAAAAATTAATTGAGGTACATGTAACACAAATACTCTTAACCATTAAACTAAAAAAAAAATGCATATATGACTTTAATTGATGTGCTACATTTGAAATGCATTTCCTCTGGGGCCTAAAAACCATTATATGGACTAATCAAAGGGCCAGATCCTAAAATTAGGAACCTTTCTTGACCCGAGCATTCATTTATGAAATTAACACAATAAAGTGAGTCAACATGTTCGTCGAAGATACACATGCAAACACAACCATTCTATTTAAGATTTGAGCATCGTTTTAAAATAAATAAAATTTGTTAAGTGACCCTTGCGAGTTACAAGCTTATAAAATCAGTCCTCTCAAAGTTTTTCGCACTTTGCATACGCTTGATGGACCAAATTCTGGCTACTAAACTATATCAGAACAACAGAGAGAGAGAGAGAGAGAGAGAGAGAGAGATTGTCAATTATCAAAGCGGCCGTGTGGCCCGTGTTTGTGTAGCAGGCTTGTTACTGGGCTGGACATTAAAAGGCTAGCCCAATTGTACCTGGATCATGGTTGTTACCATAATTTTTGAACTATTAGCCTTTTAAATGGCCTGGGCGGGTGGCCCTGTAGAGGTGTAGAGCGTTAGAGAATAATCAGCGGCCATATATGATTTGCTTTGCGCGCATTCAAACGGATAAAACACTAACAACCAGACGTTAGTATCTGTCCAGAGCTTTGAAACGGCCATTCATGAGTCATGGCATTGCCCGCCTCTCTAAGCATTGCCAACACAACCGCCATTGCAATCTACCAAAATAAAGCTCTGCGAAACCAAAGCCGTTTTCCGAACCCAAATCAAATCCGTTGCATAGGATGGGTCTCTCCTCTCTCTCTCTCCGTGTATATGTGTGTGTGTTTTTGTGTTGATGTGAAGCATTGTGATGAAAACTGATTATTCTTGATGTTGTTTATGTGA